GGGGGCCTCAGCGCTTTTAGGAGTTCCATCGGCTCCATAAATGTCAGAGCCGGACCTAATGAAGACGGGTTGAGCGGGTCTGAGCGGCGTCCTCGTCGTATTAGCTCAGGCAGAAGACCGGAGATGAAGGCCAGAGGAAACGGGGACGAACTGACCTTCACTGTGCCAACCGTGTCCCAACGTGGAGCTGAGGGGTCTGAGATGAACAGAGAAGGTGGAGGGAGAAGGGTTTTGAGGGTTTAGAGGGAGAGTTTAAACAGATTTTTATTGTTGTCAAGGTGTTAAGATCGTGTAGAGGCTCGTGGCGCACCTGTAAAAAAGTGTATGAATGAGAAAAATGAATGACAAATTTTGAAGGAAGCTTGTAGAATAAAGATAGTCAGTTTGGCGTCACCTAGTCCCTCCGCTCAATTTCATTTCTCTGCAGCGACTATGTCAGGCATCAGAATACACTAGATGGTTTGAGAAAGTCGTAGAGCGAAGAGCTGAATCAACCCGAGTTGCGATAACAGACTGCATACACTATCCTCCTTTGGACTTCCTTTGTCAAATACAAACATCGCCTTTTTTTATATTGCACCTTTAATTCGCAAGTTCACCTCGCAGAAACGACAATGATCCATGACAGACGTGTTCACTCTCTGCTTTTTTTGCTGTTGTGCCAGAAATTACTTGGACACCACTGAGTGTCCCGGCGCATTACATATGTCACGACCAAATAGCAGTGATTAGTTAAATTTTAAAAAAGTACCCGTCTACTGTCGAGCGAATGAATCCTAATGCTGCGAGGTCAGACGGTTTCCACAAAGTGAAACCGGCTGGATTAAAGACGGGGTTTTATGTAAACTCTTTTTTTTTTTTTTTGCTGTTTCTGTTCTAGTGTTGTACCCACATCAAAAACATGCAACATGAAAACGAAAGTGAAACTGATAAAACATGTTAATGCATTGTTTTCGTCTAAAAATAACATTTACTATCAAAATAATAAAACATAAAAATCATCGTCAAAATATGTTAATAAACCACAGACGTAAAATACTCTCTCCCTCAGATCTCAAACCAAGGCAACAGACGTTTTAGTATTTAAAGTAACTCGAGCCTCTTTCACAATAACTGAAAAATAATCTAGATTTTTAAAAATACTTTTTGGGACAAAACAGTACATTCAGTTTTGCAATTCATCCATATAATAATAACATACTATTAAGACCTGCAATAGCTGTAGTAGTAGTAGTTGTAGTAGTAGCTGTAGTAGCTGTAGTAACTATAGTAGTAGTAATAGAAACAGTAGCAGTAGTCGCTGTAGTAACAGTAGTAGCAGTAGTAGTAACAGCAGTAGTAGCAGTAGTAGATGCAGTAGTAGTAAACGCAGTAGTAGTAGCAGCAGCAGTAGTAGTCACAGTAGTACCTGTAGTAGTAGCAGTAGTAGTAATCACTGTAGTAGTAGTAGGAGTAGCAGTAGTAGTAGTAGCAGTAGCAGTAGTAGTAGTTGTAGTAGCAGTAGTAGTATTGTAGTAGTAGTAGTAGTAGTAGTAGCAGTAGTAGTAATTGTAGTAGCAGTAGTAGTAGTTGTAGTAGTTGTAGTAGTAGTAGTAGTTTTAGTAGTAGCTATAGTAGTAGCTGTAGTAACTATAGTAGTAGTAATAGAAAGAGTAGCAGTAGTAGCAGCAGTAACAGCAGTAGTAGTCACAGTAGTAGCTGTAGTAGTAGCAGTAGTAGTAATCACTGTAGTAGCAGTAGCAGTAGTAGTAGTTGTAGTAGTAGTAGTAGTAGTAGTAGTAGTAGTTGTAGTAGTTGTAGTAGTAGTAGTAGTAGTAGCAGTAGCAGTAGTAGTATAGTAGTAGTTAGTAGTAGTAGTTGTAGTAGCAGTAGCAGTAGTAGTAGTAGTAGTAAGTAGTAGTTGTAGTAGTTGTAGTAGCAGTAGCAGTAGCAGTAGTAGTAGTAGTAGTAGTTGTAGTAGTAGCTGTAGTAGCTGTGGTAGCAGCTGTAGTAGTAGTCACAGTATTAGTAGTAGTCGTGGCCCGTGTATGTGGACTCTGTTTAATTTCAGGTTGTGCACTTGAGCAGAAGCACACGCACGCACACACACACACACACACACACACACACACACACACACACACACACACACACACACACACACACACACACTTCCTCCTGCTCTTTTCTCTCACAGTCTGAGTGCAGGTTTTAGTCATGAGCTCACTCTCCCAGGAACCAAAGTCATTCTCAAAAATCTCACTTTTATTCTCAGGCTCGACACACACACACACACACACACACACAACACACACAACACACACACACACACACAACACACACAACACACGACACACACCATCACTGTGTCCGATCCTTTAAAACGAAACATCCAGCTGGACTTTTTTGGCTCTTTTTTTTTTCATTTACAACAAGTTCGATTAATACACGTAAGAGTTTGGCGAGTGTTTTTATTCTTGTTTTATTTTTTGTTGTGTGTTGTGGTGATTTCAGGCCGTCAGCAGAGTGTCCGCGGCGTGTTGTGTGGCTCTGTGATGCTGTCCAGAGCCTGCGGGTGGCGTCGCTTTGACATTTATGGCCCTATGCCTCTTCATTAACACCAGCTAAACCCGCCCTTTGCCCCCTCCTGCCTCACTCCTGCCCCTCTGGATTCAGCCTAATGTCCGTGTGAGGGTGAAACTGTGGGAATACGTGGCTTAAATGTTTTGATGGAAACAACCAATGAAGTAAATACTATGAAACATTTATCTTTCATTCAAGTTTGGTGATAAACAGAGTCTGAACTTCTGAATTTTACTGTGATGTCAAAAGAAGAGAGCACATTACCCCAATTTTTGCGTCTTTGCACTGGCTTCTTGTTCGTTTTAGAGTTGATTTTTAAGATTTTATTGCTTGTTTTTAAAGCTTTGAATGGACTGGACCCACAACTTAAAACCAGGATGGAACGGGACCTTCTCTGTGGTCGGACCCGAACTCTGGAACGCTCTGCCTCCCCCTACGTCCCAGCAGCCCCCACAGCGGAGTGTTTTACGTCTCGTCTTAAGACCCACTTTTATTCTTTGGCTTTTAACACCGTGTGAGTTGTGTGCGCTTATAGTCATGAGCTTTGGGTAATGACCAAAAGGACAAGTTCGCTGCTGCTGCTGCTCCCTCGCTTAATCCGTCAGGAACTCGGACTCACTGCAGCACTTAAAATCACATCTAAAAACTCATCTGTACAAACCAGCATTCCCCCTATGATTCCCCCGTTTTCTACAGTGTTACAAAAAAGCGCTATATAAGTCAGAAGTATTATTATTATTAGCTCAGTCACATGGGAGGAGCTCGGAGTAGAGCCACTGCTCCTCCACGTCGAGAGGAGCATCCATTCTGGTGCCTTCTAGACACCTCCCTCTGGAAATGTTCATGTCCCACTGGGAGGAGGCCCCGAGGAAGACCCAGGACAAGCTGGAGGGACTATGTCTCTGGACTGGCCTGGGAACGCCTCGGGATCCCCCCGGAGGAGCTGGAGGAAGTGTCCGGGGTGAAGGAAGTCTGGGAGTCCCTGCTCAGACTGCTGCCCCCGTGACCCGGCCCCGGATAAGCGGAAGAAAATGGATGGATAGATGGAGTTGTGTTCTCCTCTGCGTCTTTTATTTAGAATCAGAAACACAATCAGAATTTATTTGTCATTTCAGTATAAAAAAATACACAGAAACGAAATACTGCACTCAGGTCCAGGTCAACAGCAGCACAGACAATAATAAGGGCGGCAGTAGCTCAGTTGGTGGAGCATTCGTCCACTGAGCTGAAGGTTGGCGGTTTGATTCCAGTTCTTGACATAAACATCACAGTTTGAGCGGTCAGATCCACTGACCCACAGGTTGAGCTGTTGTGGTTCCAGCTCCCACAGATGAATGCTGCCGTTGTGTCCTTGGGCAAGACACTTAACCCACCTTGCCCACAGTGTCTGCGTACACTGGTGTGTGAATGGGTGTGTGGTTCCTTGTTGTAAAGCGCTTTGAGTGCCTTGAAGGTGGAAAAGCACTACAGAAAAATGTGACCATAAGAATAAATAGTTAAAATATTGTTTGTCAAATACATCCTTAAAAAAAACAAACACACAGCCCCACCCGCCCCCGTTTTCTAAAGTGAATTCCAAGTCAGTTCTGTTTTGAAAGTTGCGTTATTGTCTGGGCTTTCTGACACTAATGCACCTTATATTAATCTATATTTTATTTATTTAATTGGTTTTATTTATTTATTGCTATTCTGTTGTTTTGCCCTTTTTTATTTTACTGGTTTTATATATACACACACACACACATATATATTCATTCTTATACAATGGAACATGTAGCATAAGTGAAATCATTTTATCATATTATTCTTATTGTTGTTATTATTATGTATTTGTGCAGCACTTTGGAAACTGTTTATGAAATGTGCTATGGAGATAAAGTGGATGTTCTGGGACTGACGGGGTCTCTGGCATATTTTCATATCGATAAGAGGTTTTTGCCCTGAAACACATTTTGATGAGGAAAAATGTTTTTTTTCGTCGTCAAAAACACACCTGGAGTTGTGTTTTGTTTCATTCACGTGTGTTTACTTCTTGACTGGTGGTTCTCAAACTGGGATGCGTGGATTATTCTGCATTTATATATTTAAAAAAAAATTGGAAGACATTTTTTTTATTTTGGTGAACGATCCCATGTTGTACAAATTTCTGAACTGTTATAATAGTAGTGTTTTGTTGTGTTTTGTTTCATTCGCACATGTTTAAACTCACAAACACACATATTCCTGCAGTTCTCAAATGGAAAACACTCTGTTCCACCTTGTGATGTCATTTGGTAATAGAGGAAGTGCTCCACACACCTTCACTAGAACCATCAGTCTTTTACGCTGGGGCAGTACGGTTCTGTTCTCATGACTAAACACAAAAAGACAGAAAAACCACGACTGTACTAATGTAAAACCCAACTGTCCGTCTCATTTCTGATCTGTTTTTCCCTCAGGCCGTGGAGTCTCAGATCCGGAGCTTTGGACAGACCCCGGGCCAGCTCCTCATCGAGCCTCACCCTCCGCGCAGCTCCGCCATGCAGGTGGTGAGTGGAACCAGACCCTCCCTCCAGTCTCCCCCAGAACCCCGCGCCCTAATCCCCCCTGTCTGAGCAGTGTCACGGGCCAGCTCCCCTCCACCGCCCCCTTTACCCCAGCTCCCCTCCACCCCGGCTCCCCTCCACCGCCCCCTTTACCCCAGCTCCCCTCCACCCCGGCTCCCCCCACCGCCCCCTTTACCCCAGCTCCCCTCCACCGCCCCCTTTACCCCAGCTCCCCTCCACCCCGGCTCCTCCAGAACCCACTTTACCCCAGCTTTGATTTCTGTCTGTCTTCACTGTATTTGCTTTTCCCCTTAAAATCTTTATTACAAATACTAAACTTGATAAACATTGATTCCAAACTATTCCAAAACATGACACAAGAAACACAACATAAATCAAAACAAACAAATATATATTAAAAAAACAAAACAAACCCACGGCAATTGACTTTTTAGTTTTTGAAGTACCATATTTTTCTAACTATAAGATGCACTTTAAATCCTTTCATTTTCTCAAAAATCGACAGTGAGCCTTATGTATTAATTCTGGTTATGTTTACTGACCTCGAACTGATTTTCTGTGGTACACGGCGCTAAAAATCTGTCAAAATGTTTTAGTATGACTTTAATAAACTATGAAGCTGCACCGCTATAAGGTCTATGTCAGACATGTCAGACTCAGGCCCGGGAGCCAAATTTGGCCTGTGATATAATTATATTTGACCCATGAGATCATATCAAATATGTATTAGAGCTGCCGCTGGCTACAGATCGACTATAGACACATTATTTATTTAAAATGTTATTATTTTATATTTTGTTTGTTCTGGATTCAATGTTTAAGCAAAACTATTATTAAACAATTATTTTAATAAGAAAAGATTTAACATTACAGATCTCGCAAGAAGAGAAAACATGCAGATGTTGTTGAAATTTTTCAATAAATATTTAGTTTGGCCCACAACTTAGTCCCAGTTTTTAAATTTTGGGCCCTTTGTGAATTTGAGTTTGAGTCCCCTGATCTACACGTTTGACCTGCAGACGTTTAATCTCTGAAAACTTTCACATGAACCATCTCCAACACCATAGAAACACAGAACAGACTCAGCATCAGCAGCTCATCCTCTGTCACAGAAAGAACACTCATATTCCACTGAGTCGTGTCCTTTAATCCGACAGAAGCTGAACCTCATCAGCGCACAAGGAAAGAGCAGTTTTTTTAGAGCTTATAGTTTATGCAAATGAGCCATGTGGTTTTAAGTTTAGTTTCTGTAACATGTAAACAAATGTGCGCGAAGCTGCATTCAAACACATTATTACTTAATGTATATTTGAGTCGTCCTCGTAGGAAATAAAAAACAAACTTAAATGATCCACCCACATTCACATTCATAATCCACATTCACCAAGACAGGGAGGAAACACCGGGTGAATTACACCACGATCTGCCGATGGATCGTGGACGCCTGGACTAAAGGATCAGTCTCAAGTGTCGTCTGTTTGTTTCTCTTAATGCGTCTTTTAATCCAGTGCACTTTTGTATGAAAATAGACGAGAGAATTCAACATTATTGATATTGTGCCTTATAATACAGTGCACCTTATAGTCCAAAAAATACGGTAATTACTTGATCTTTATACTTTCACAATAAGAAGTGAAAAATAATCTTTATTTAAAAAGACTTTTTAGGGACAAAATAATACATTCAGTTTTGCAATGATCAGAGGTGGGACCAAGTCGTTGTTTTGCAAGCCTCAATTAAGTCTCAAGTCTTTGACCTCAAGTCCGAGTCAAGTCCCAAGTCAAATACAGGCAAGTCCAAGTCGAGTCTCGAGTCACTGGCCCATAAGTCCAAGTCAAGTCCAAGTCATCTGCTTTGAGCTTCAAGTCATTTCAAGTCTTTAAACCAAAGTACCACATATAGTTTAGATTTTGGCAATTTATATGAATTTTAAACTAAATTGTAATTTAAAAAGTCAGAGTATATTTATATATGAGTATTTCTAGAGTATACAAGCGTTGTAGAAATTAATTTAGTAATTTTGTTTTTTTGTTTTTAAATGTCTTGAGAAGATCTTAGTGTGAATTCTTTTGGTCAGAACAGAAAGAATTCAGATTTAAAAGTGCTTCTCAAGTCACGGGCCTCAAGTCCAAGTCGAGTCCCAAGTCTTAGTCCATTTTATCAAGTCAAGTCCCAAGTCTGACTCGAGTCCAAGTCACGACTTGCAAGTCCCACTTCTGTCAATGCTTTTTATCATCTGTGCTCATGTTGGCACGCTCTATTTGATTTTCAACGTAAATAAAAAAAAACCTAAACAAATATATATAAAAGAAAACGGCAAAAAAGTTGATAAAATGTCAATAAAATAACAATAATGGTAATGGTAGTGCAGAATAGTCACATCTCCATAGGCTGACCCATTTTTATTTATATATTTTTTTATTTTTTGTTATTTTATTTCACCTTTTTCCCATTTTTGGTTGCGGCTCCATCACCTGCTTGTCATTGCTTTGCCTGGAATGTTCCACAGTGTGACTTTAAAGAGCTCTACTTTACATTTATTCAATTACAGGTGGTTTTAAAGCTCAAAAATACCAAGAAAAACAAAAAAATTCTGACTCTGAGTGGGATCAGCGGGGTCGCCTCTCCACAGATCTGCCTTGAAACTCGGTCTGGTTTGGTCTCCATGGAGATAGAAAGGTTTAATGCCACACTGTGAAGCATTCCAGACAAAGCAAGAAGTGAAAAGCGCTCGCCGGACGCTTCTTCTTCTCGTTGTTTTTGTTTTTGTTTGCCACTTTCTACATTTTCTACACATACGGAAGACATCAGAAATATGAAGTAAGATGGATGGAGCTCTGACATTGCTGCGCTCATGTTGGCACACGGTTTGACGTCCGATTTTCCCCTTTAAATCTACCTCATTATTACAATTTTTCATGTATTTTCATCCCGACAGTGCTGGGAAAGTGCGCTCGCGGATCTGAAAGCATCTCGTGTCTCATCATTAGCGAGGTGTGTGCGGAGAGGGGACTGGAGAGTTCTGGTCCGGAGCCAGTTTTTCCACCTGAACTGGGATCAGTGAAGCGGCGGCGGAGGGGGTGGTGGTGGCGGCGGCGGGGGCAGGCTTCCAGGGGCCCTGTGTGTGCGATGGCTTAGGCCCCCAGAGTCCCTATTAGCCCGGTGTCCCCATGGCGCTGACAGCTGCCTCCAGACCACCGCCCTGCACGCTCGCTCGCTGACCCTCGCCGCAGCGCCCAGCCACTCACAGGAATTACAAGAAAAATCAGAGGGAATGTTATTTTGGCTTCAGGATTTAAAGGTCTGACATTACCGTATTTTTCTGAGTATAAGACAAAAAACTGTATAATGAAGAAGAAAAAAAACATAAGTTATAAGTTGCACCAGACTATAAGTTGCACTTATTTTATAAAATCAGAGACCAGGAACCGACATTTCATCTTGAAATTCAATCCATTATCCGAACTTGAGTGGGGATCTGAGGCAAAGCTCCAATACATACTTAACTTACTTTCAATACTCGGTAACGCTTTATAATAACTACACCTTATTTAGCCTTAATAAAGCATGAACAAAGACTTAATTAATAATGAGTCACGCTTAGTAACTACTTAATTACTGCCTTAATTAGCACTTAACTTGCACTTAATTGCCTGTGCTGTAAATAGTTACTCATAATTATTTCATACTTAATTACTCATGAACTAACCATTTGAACCAACCATTATATTTAAGTACAAATTTGAGCATTTATTAATGATTAATAAGCTATGAGAGACTGATTTACTAATAATGCAATGCAATGATAATTCCGGCAGCTGTTATCTGTTAGTTATGTCTTTTTGAGAGCTTTTCTAATGTGAATAAATCATTATGAGTAAGTAGTTACTAAGCATGACTCATTATTAACTAAGTCTTTGTTCATGCTTTATTAAGGCTAAATAAGGTGTAGTTATTATAAAGTGTTACCCAATACTCAAATTAACTGGTAATAATACAGGTCAGCAGTAGGGATGGGCACGATTAGTCGATTAATCGATAACTGAGCATTAAGATTTTCATTGATTATGTTCATTTTACTCGACAAACTGAATGTAGGTTTTGGTGCATAGCGTAGGGTGACAAAATGTCCGTTTTTTGTGTCCTGTCCTGGCCGTCCGTGATGCAAATGTCTGTGTTTTCGTTTCCTTTCATTGGGCCATTAAACTGAGCGTCTCTCGTGGCGCTCTGTAACTCAGAAAGAGCGAGCAGACACAGACAGTCGGTCAGTCTGCGACACGCCGAAGCACAAATGCACATTTAACGATGACTTGTACAAGAAATTCCCCGCTCTCTGTCCCGGTCGAGACAAGTGTGAGGCCATGTGCACAGTGTACAAAGCAGCACATATGTTTCGGTGTCCAGTGTCGGTGTCAGGAACCTCAAAGCACCAGGACACCGAAAAACATGAAAAAGCTTTGCCAGGTAAGAGTAGCTCAATGTCGATTACGAAGCCTCACCTCCCACCCCCCGTACGGTGTCCTGGTTAACAATAACAATAACAATAGAAGAGAGAACAACGGACTGTTAACGTCACATATGAACAGTTCTTCAGATAAACTATAACATAAACAACAGAACAGTTTAACAAACTCTCCATCTCACTCCAAATCACTAAACTCATTCAATTCTTCATCCTCGGTGTCACTTCTGAGCAACTCCTCGTCCTCCGGAGGTAAACAGAGCGCCGCTTCCTCTTCTGTGTCGCTGTCGTCAGACTCAGCATCAGTTCCAGTTAGAATTATTCCGGTCTTTCTGAATCCCGACAGGATGGTTTCGGTGTCACTGAAAGGTTGTATAGAGGATTTTTTAAGGGAAGAGAAATACAGCGACAGTCCTTTTTCAAATGTTGTGCATGTGTGACACCACCTTCCTCCTCCACAGCCTCAGTAGAAACATCTCCTCCTGCCTCTTTACTCCAGAAATCACACTTGTTTACATCC